GCTGCACCTATTGTTGCTATGACCAAAATATATCCTTTGCATGCATATGTACACATACTTTATATATATATATATATTTAGACACACACAGAAAGTGTGTGTGTGTATCTGTACATGTGTGTGTGCATACAGGTATAACTCGACGACATACAGCTGTCATAGAGGTCTCATCTGAATTGCCAGTGTTATACACGTGTTCCTGAGCTGTGCTGGGAGGACTGGTGTCCTGACAAGCAGCGAAAGGGCAGGAGGCCCGCGGGCAGGGAGCCAGGGGCTGCCAGCAGCCCGGGCTCTTCTGCGGGCCGCGGTGCAAGAGCAGAACCGACCCTAAAGCAGCCGGGCTGGAAAGGCAAACTGCAAAAACAGCAACGCCCAAACAACGCACAACCACTGCCCCCGAGCGCTTTCGAGCTCAGGAAAAAGCCCTGCACGCTGACACCTTTCCAGAAGCACCTCGCAGAGCCCTTTCAAAGGCAGAAGCTCTATGAAAGGGCAAATTTTGCACTTTCATCCCCCTCTGATAATGCAAACTCCTCAAAGGCCTGACCTGGTGACCTCGGCAACGGGCGCACGACGCAGAGGGACAAACAGCCGCCCGCAGTGATTACTCCGTATCGCTTCCTGCCTACACACGCAGCTACACGAAGAGCCCCTGCAGCCACGCAGCGCTCGCCGGCCTGTCCCGGGCACCCGCCAGGCTCGCGCGGCGCCCTCGAGCGCACCCCGTCTTACGGGCTGCTGCTAGCGTTGCCTGTTAAGGCACCCATATACTAAAGGCAGCCGGCGCAGCTCATTAATGAAATCAGCAACGTGGCATGTAGGTTAAAGCAATTACCACCAGCATTAGCAAGGGTGAACAGGGGATAGAGACAGATTACCTTTAGCCAGCCTGAAGCTCTTGAAAGGTCTGCAGGAGACCCCCTCTTCTGCCTTCCTGCTCGAACTCAAGGGCGACAGGAGAACTGACAGTAAGCTAGCGAAGCACTCCCAAATCCATGGAAAACCAGCTAACTGCCGAGTCCGGGCTCGTATGGAAATAACCAACTAGGGACATGCTGTCTTAGGGAGGACAAGTATCAGAGGAGGGAGTAACCTGCAAACTACGTATCGAGCAGCAGCAGACACTGGTACTGCTCCTCCCTTCCTCCATCCTCCTCCTGTTACCACCACCAGCGCCTCTACCGATTTCAAAGTCTTCAGCTAACCTACTTCCTATGGGCACTAATCCATGGAGATTCAAGAGAACAGCTTATTCGGAAACCGATGTAATCCGGGACACAACTCTACGGATCTTAAAGAAGTTTCCAGTGTAAGGGATGCATCTGATAAGCAAAGGCAAGTTCTCAGCTGGTTCTGGTTGATCTCCTGGCACTCCAGAAAAATTCCCGCTAAGCACATGTGACACCACAAGTTCAGACTGCAAGAAGCAAAAATGTCAAGGAAATCCCTCAAGACCCTATGTCAGATTAAGAGTCTCTTAAAACAGTTTCCATCCACTGAACTCTGCAACGGCCCCACAGCAGGGCCTGAATGCACCTAGGCTGCCTCCGCTTCTCCTCAGCCCCCTCTCCTTCCGCCAAGCCAGGTATCAGAATGAGCTTCTATTCAGATGCCTTTTAGCATGAATGAAAATGGACTTAATCAAGGTTTAGGATCGTGAAGGATGTTACTCATGCAATAGCACCACCCAATACAAAAGAGAAGGAAGCTCAAGGAATTCACTGCTCCCTCTTGTTGGAGCAGTCAACCCGCAGCTGGGCAACATAAGCCAAGTGACACAGGCCTCCATACCAGCTTAATAAAGTCTTATAAATTGGAGGGCCAGCTGTTCTCCATCAGAGGGCACAGAACATCCCCCAGACTGTACACAGGACTTGCTTCCTCTGACTCACTAACTATAGCTCTGGGACTTGGGGAACTGGTGCATTGACCTAGGTAGGAAGTCCTAAATTCTTAAGTAAATTGCATGAAACAAAAGGCACAAAACAGTTAAAGGGGGTTTTTAAGGACCGCACAGTGTTTATTCTATTGCCACGCTGTCCAGCGTGGCTGAGGAGCCCTTCCTGCATGTACCGTGGCTTGGGCTCCCCAGACCCAAACGGGACATGAAGGACCTGCCAGTAACAAAATAGACAGTCGCCACCAACCCCTCTGCCGCCTCAAAGCCTCTACGTTGCTTTTTATAACCCGAAACATTTGAATAAGACATGAGCAACAAAACAGAAAAGCAGAGGAAAGCCAAGAGGTAGCAACTCATCATACTTACATAACTGTATTGTCATCAACTAAGATATCGCAGCCATGAGCAGGACATGAAATAGTCTGAGAAAAGAAGGGGGAAAAAATAAAAGGTCATAAAAGGAACAGTGTTTATTCGATTCTGCATCACAAGTAACTCCAAAGCCACACACTTTGCTAAACCCCACAGCAAAAACAGCCCCTTTGGCTGCATGGTCACACACGGGCGGCCCAGACGCGCCGCTGTGCACAGCGTGTTCTCCCCACGCAGGGCAGGGATGCGCACGCACATTCCCTGCAGCTCCTGTCACACGCAGCAGCCGCACAGAATCTGCTCTCCAAAACCCCTGTCGTCTGCTTTTAGTAAAGAAGAATCTTCTCTTTTCCCCCCCCCCAATACACAAACTTGTCCCCCCAAAATACAGGCGAGTTGAGACTTTACCTGTCCCATGCCTTCCTCCATTATTTTGGTAGTTAAATATTCACTCCAGCACTGCATACAGAACTTGTGTCCACACTCTAGGCCAGTAAAGTACTGCAAGACACGAACGAGACACATGGCGTCACTTTATCGGGTGGAACTGCGGCACCGTTTGGTCCTTCTCGGTGCCAGGCCGTTTGATCCCAGCGCTTGTCCCTCCCCGCCAGATTTGGGGTCCTGTTCACTTTGCATCACCACACAGAGCACTGTTGTAGCAACTTTGAACGTGCTTTCAAAGACAGGTTTTACTCCCCTAACAGCAAGGAAAAGGTGGCCAGCATTTTCATCCTGCCTGCCCGTTCCAATTTACCTTTATTTTCCAAGTACGTACATCACTTAACATGGCAGTCTCCTGCTTCACCCTTACGCACACATAATAACAATAATAATAATAAAGCAATGTCATGAAACAGGTCACAGTACTATGATGACAGCCTGTGTTGCTTCCTCGTGCTGTTCTGCTTGGCTCACTCCCCGACGTGGGTGCTCCCCGTAGATCCCAGCCTCGGAAACCTCCCCCGGAAAACCCAGACAAAGAGGCCGAAAATGCTAATTGGCAGGTGCCAACCAGCAAATAAAATTCAGTAATGAGTAGCTGGTTGCAGACAGCAACAAGGACAGCTTCGCCTGCGTATGCCTCATCTCCGTGAAGTGTGTCAAGATGCCACTTGCAAACAACTGGTTGCACAAGGGGTGGAGAAGCGAACGGTGAAGGGCAAAGACTGAAATGAAATCTTGGGTCATCTCAGTTGGTTCATGTTGTGAGCCAGGCGCAGGGACCGACTCCATCTGAACCAGTCCATTCGTGATACTATGCAGGTTTCTGCCTGATGGCCTCATTTTTCACACTTTCTTATTCCTAGCCAGTCAGAGGAAACAAGGACGTCACCCCGAGGTGCCATGATCTTACATGAAACTACAGAAATTACTGCAGAACAGCCTGAAACAGCAGCAGGATGGGGTCAATCAGACAAAGGAGAGTCGGTTTGAAGGAAAAAGAGGACTTCTGCTAAAATTGCTTCCTTGGCCGTTGGAGACTCAGGATTGCAACCACAATCCAGCCCGAAGAAGGTCCAAGTGTTCCCCAGAACCAGGGCTCCTCCGCACGCAACGGGACCAGTCGTGGACAAGGGGATCGTGCCTGGCTGAACCTACCCACTCCTGCAGCGAGGGAAACAGCACAGAGCAGGAAAAATAAAAACCACACGGGGTAATCATGTATCTTCAGCGTAGACCGACTTGGTTATTTCAGGTAGTGACAAGACTTCCTACAAGCCCAAGTAAAGGGCAGCCCCCACGCTTCCTCCCGAGAGCTTGCGGCATCGTTCGACTCATTTCTTGACTTTGAGGGAGTTCCCAATTATTTTTGGCTGAGCTGACAGCAGACGTCAAGGGAGGAAGCAAGAAAGCCCAAGAGGCAACTGCCAAGGGCAAGCGCTCACAGAAGGGTCACGCCACCGCAGGGGACAGCTCGGCTCCCGCCTCACGGATGCTCGAGGCGCTCGGCACCTCCTCTCCTTGTGGAGCCACGGCACCGCCGGCCGCGCTGCCGCTCCTCTTCCCGAGGCACCAAGTTCATCAGAGGAAGGACCAGCTCATCCAAGGTATGCTCACCACGAGGGCCTCACTCTGGCCTCCCTCCCGTCTGTAAGCGAGCTGGGCAGCACCAGGCCAACAGGCTACATCTGCGAGGCACCTGAACAAGCAGCTGGTACCACAGCTTCCAGCAGGATCCTCTCCAACGGGACCCAAAGGAAGAGATTTCAGAGGGGAGGCAGCAACACGATGCCCCTTCTCTACTCCTGTCTTTGCTTTGCTCCTGGTGAAACCTTTATTGGTGTCTGTCGAGACCCAGCACTGATTCATGGAGACCCAGAGAATGCAAAATATTTTGCTTAAGCCTTCAAATCACCAGGATGGAGGCTCCCTTAAGGGCATCTCATGCTGCACTTTGCAGGAGTAGCACAAAACACCACAGCCATTCTCCTCACAGACTCAGTATTTGCCCACGGCCGTGTCTTAAAGGTTGCTTCCATACATCTGCTTGGAAGCAGTGGAGCTCAGGAGAGCCCAGGAGGAGCCAGGAGCCTGCTGTGTGCAATACCTTTCGGACGCTCTACACGTCACTCATCCTCATCCCCATGGCAGTAGTAAAACTTTTGTCCTGTCACCCTTTGTAGGGGACGCAGCGTGGTCTACAGAGCGGAAAGGAGAAGCACATGAGCAAGTACTAAAACAAACGTGCTGGTCTAGAACCCAAATAGATTTTATGTCCTAAGGGGAATTTTGAGAAGGTACCAGACAGATATCAAACCTAAACAAGAATTTTCCAAAGAACCTCTTCTGTAGATGGATATTAAGATACTGAAGATGTCTCCTCTTGTGCTTTCCCTCATTTTTTTTCCATTATTCTAATTTAAAATGCCGCAAGGCTTAAATTCAGGCTTACTTTGCTTCCTTACTATCTGACACGGAAATACCCGTGATGGATAAACAGTGACATTTCAGTCTAAGATAGAAGGATAGACAAATCTCTCCAATTTTAGGCACCTCTGGATAGAAAGCAACAACTCCGTTTTGTAAATATTCCCTACAAAGGCAGTCAGAGCAGGCAAGGAGACGCACACAGGGCTGCGGTTCCTCGCTCGAGAGCGATCTGAATGCTGCGGAGCTCAGCCGGCCCGTTGCAAGCAGGGCAAAGCCTCGCACCAAGCTCCAGCAGTGAGGGGCCTTTATGTAAGGCTGCTCGTAAAAACCAGAGCTCCTGATGGTTTCCATTACTGCTGGAAAGCGAGCCCAAGCGCCTGTGGAAACCTCCCTTAAGAACCACTCTTCTCCTTAAAGAAGGTCAGGCAGATGACACAGTGTTTTAGATGGCCAGAAGAGTTTCACACAGAAAGGTGAGTTCCGATAAACAAAGGCAATTCCTGCTTCGACTTTTCCACTAATCAGAATTTCTTCCAGGACCTCCCATCACAGTGCCCTCCCCTAGAAAATTCCAAGCTAGGGAGCTGCCTGTAGAGGACACAGAAGCAGCCGGTGTCTCCCATTAGCACATCTGGAAGTTCACGCTTTGGAAGTGCCCATGGAAAAGCAGCTCTCACCCACCCTGCCACAAACCAGGAGATGGAACAAGAGCCCCAGCAAGCCCTTCTACCTCAGCCTCTCCACCTGGAGACCACACGGACTGTCCCATTGGCTCTGCTTCCTGAACAGCTCAACTTGATTTTACCCCAGGCCCACTCAGTTATACCCTGAACTTGATATCTTGACTATTTTACACCATTATTTGCTTCCTTTATAAGCAACTTCCTATCTCTTCCTTCTACGCGAGTAAATCCCTTAGTCTCTCAAGGTTCCCCATTTATTTATTTTCTGTCATGTATCATTTAGTTACGTGTCTCAGTGGGTCTCTGACACACTTAGAAGTCACTTGGTTTGCTGGTCCCTTTTTCTAAATAACTTCACTTCCCTGCTGCCCAGCACCCCCTTTTGCAGAAAGGATAACCATTTCCTTGGAAATAAAATCTCCTCTCTGGGTACTCGAATGCTCCTTGTGGTTCTTTCTGAGGGGGTAGCAGTGCTTTTTAAAAAAAATTGGCAAACTTGCTTTGTCCAAGCAAGGATTAAAGTGAGTGTATGAAGCACTACATAGTTCTGTGCCCTCCCCTATGTTACCTGGATCAGCTGAAGCACACAAGGCTGCTACGGTAAAAAAAAAAAAAAACAGAAACTTTATCCTCTCCCGCTCCCCTTTCTTTCAAACACATCCTACAGATTAGAAGAATCAATCAACAAATTAAACCTCAGTTTCTTCTTAAAGGCTTTTTAGAATATTGAAGGATCAGATCTCAGAGAGGTGCCCGTGAGCATTGAGGGAAGTTCCAGAGAGGAAAATACAGATGGTTTTCACTCAAAACACGGCCGTGGCTGACGAGGACTCACCGAGTTTGGGTAGTTCAGGTAGCAGATCTGACAAGGCATATCCTGGGCCGACGACCGCGTGTTCATCTGGCGCGTCCGGGACTTTTTACTGGGATTAATTACGTGACACTCTGCAAAGAGCTTCTCCAAGTTGCCATCGAAGTACCTGCACGATGCACATACGAGAAAGCAAATGTAACCGCCCTGTCTGCAAGTCATTTTTCAAACTCTGTTCAGGAGTTAGATGTGCACAGTTGGAGGTGTCGCTTTGTAAAACTCACATATCCACTACTTTTAACAGACTCTTCACCAACATATCACACTATGGTCCTGACTACAGACAGGGATATTAGACATTTTTTTTCACCCCCCCAGATATTTGGGCTCATATTGGGTGCTCCTAAAAGTTAAGACACCTTCAATTGCATTCCAGTCAAGCTAGCACAAATGGAACATTAATTTAATTATTTGATGATTCTCTAGAGTTTTGCATTAAAGCTCCAAGGCTAGCTAAAATATATATATATGGATATAATAAAAATATCTTGTTTCACATTCTAGGAATCGAGATACTTTCCTAAAGTGCAGCCTTGATGTCACCAGGTTCAAATCTCATTTCAGCTTAATTCTTCCATTTTCTGCAAATGTTCTAATTGCCACAACATTAAAGTGAGGCCAACAGCAGCACCTTGAGCCCTGGTTTGTGAAGCAGCACGTCCCTAGTGACCAAGTTTTGTGTTTTCAGTTTACATTAGGTGTGCCCCAAAGAGCTGACTGGAGTCCAGTCGTCTCCAACTGGACTTTAGCACTTCCCTCCTTGCTCTCCAGAGCAGGGTGCACTCGTGTCTGGTTGGAAAGCACCTGCAGGGCTGCATTTCTCCAATTTAAGGCACATGCAGCGCTACATTTCTGAAACACCTCGAGGTTGAGGAAAACTACTGATATATCAGGCATCTGAGCTCTGCTTCAGCCAGTCTTCCATTTAAGCCTGCAGCAGAGTGAACGTATCGCCAGCCTTGTGGACCAAATCTCAGTCTTCCGAGCATCTTTCTGCCTCCAATTAGCAACATCGCAGCAACCTCCCAAGGAGAGACAATTCCAAGTTTGCAGATACAGAAGGGCTGTGCGTGGGCAGGACGGCCTCCTGCCAGCACCCAGACACCAGAGCTTTCTCCAGCCCGCAGCAATTGCAAAGAGCTAATCCAAGGCGACAGCTACCGAGTTAACCTCGCTCGCTGCGTCCCCGTGCGCCAGCAGGGCTCTGAGGAGCCTTTACCCCTCCTCTCCTCCACCACCATCTTCCACAATTTAAATCCACACAAGATGGCAAGTGCTTGGAAAAAAAGAGAGCATCTGACCACAGCTACACTTAAGACCAGCAAATCAAGCCTAGGCAGCACGGAGATTAAAGTCTTTCTGCTGGGGAAAGATCATCTCTCTCAAAAACATGGGCCCAGCAACACACACAACACGTAACCCAGCTGCCTCCCGCAAGTCGCACCCAGATGCGCCCCACAGAGCGGTCCCTGCTCCTTCAGAAGCTTCTTGGTGCAGCTCACCCCGTCCTGAGCAAACCTTGCACGCGCCAGGTGCTTGTTTTCAGGTCACTCAGCTCCCAAGCTGGTGGATAATTCTGGAATTATGGGATGCCCTAGGGTTTTGCCACTCTTCTCCAAAGCTGGCTCATGGATTTCGCTCATCCATAGTATTTTGTTTGCTTTTGGGATGGCTAATATCTAAAAATTTCAGCAAGTTAATTCGGTGCACTCCCACTCTATGCAGTATTTGTCTACTGAGCAGTCATGGATAAATATTTAACTCCACAGAAGGTTTCTACCAGGCTGAGCGTTCTCGTGTGATCAGCACCACAGGGCCTCGGTTCCAAACAGCAGGCAAATAGCGGGGCGTGACAGCTGCAAAGAAAATGAGGGCTTCCAAAGACAAACCCTATGATGCAACTTTAATGCCAACATTTGCCGTCAGCTATAAGTGCATGCAAATATCAGAGCTATTTTTAATGGTGAGCTGACTTTAAAGCGTGCAGGTCACATGAGGAATGTGACTTTCCCACTTTCATTAGGCCATAAAACCCCTGCAAAAGCCACTGTTTTGAGCCCCAGCACTTTCAGCTGGGGCTCAGGAACATGGACCATCACTAACAACAGTTTTTCACCTGGAATTACCTACCCTTTCTAAATACCAATGGGCACCTAATTCACAATATGCAGTTCCCTCCCAGACTTTCATGATTTTCCCAATAAAGAGATAGAAAGTAAGAGCAAACAGTACCAGTTTCTGAGGGAAACAGGGCAGTGCGCATTCCTCTCTTCCCATTTTGGGCCTGCAAGCTGTTTTCTTTCATTTGTTCTTTCATCTCTCCAGTGAAGAAATTCTATCACTTCTTTCATTTATTTCTACAGTGTGCCAGGCCACACTGAGAAAATAATTTCCACAACTGTTTGCACGCACGTGTCTCAGACTCGAGAACAACCATGCTGAAATTGTGCAGTAAGGAAACAAAAGAGCTACCCGGCCTTTCCGGGAAGCAAACGAGCGACAGGGACACTCGGGAGCAAAGTCCAACAGCGTCTTTCACAGAACGCCTCCGCCAGGCCCTGGATGAACACACCCAGCTCCCAGCTGATCCTGTTCCAGCTCCTCCAACGCTTGGGAATCAGTTTCCAACATGGAGCATCAGAAGATCATGGACTCTCTCCCTTCCCACACGCTTCCCGCTGAGGGGTTCGCAGAGACATAACCCTCTTCCTCCCCTTTCCCAGGCAGGATGAGGCAGGGCAGCTCCCACCTGCTTCCCATGTTTCTCCACATCCTCGGCCACCCTGGCAAACTTCAGCTGCTGGTTCCTGCTTCCATTCCTCCCCGTTGCCCCCAAGGAAGCCAGAACACAGCAAATCCAGAGAGATTTCCTGAGGACCTTGTACAGTTTTCCCAACACCTCTGCATTTCTCCTGGAAACGTCTCCCCTGAGGCATCCTAAACACACTGCACGTCTCCAGAGTCCCTCCATGGCCGCAGCTCCATCTCATTCTCTACCAGAAATCCCATCTTCTCTGTCTCTGTGTTGACGAGACCCATCTTGACACTTTTTACTGCCGCTATCGCTGGAGTCCTCCGGGCTATCCCACTTTTCCTCTGCGACATCTGGGATCCTCCTCAACCAAATGCCGCATAACAGCCTCCCGCCACGTCGCTGCCCATCCCCAGAGGGATCAGGGTCTTTGCTAACAGCTTCCACCTCGGCTGCTGGCCCCATTCCGAGGCATCTCCACAGGCCCCGTGCCCACCCCTGCACCCACCTTCACTCTCCTCTCCACGCAACATCTTTCCTGCGGGCCGTAAGGCAAAAACCACTTCTTAATGACACCAGGAGGTTAATTTTGGTTTTATTGATTCATCTCTAGCTTCTCTTTACTGCAGACTCTTCCTCCTCCCTGAATTCTTACTCTTTTGGCCAGGGAAGCTCTACAAAGAGCTGAGCTTGACTTTCACCTATTCCCACCCCATTGCTACAGCTCTGGCTCTTACATGGTTGCTTCTTGGTTGCGAGGTCCCTCCTTTTCAACTTGGGGAGGAGCAGAGAACATTTTGGAAATTATTATTCTTCATCCAGAGCGGCTTGGCATTAAATCTCTCGCACTCCCCCTTCTCCCTTTGTGCTGCAGATATTCCATAGTTTTAGGCTCAAGAAAAGCTACAGCCTATTCAACATCGGAGTCTTTTTGCTCAATACAGCTGAGCTCAGTAACCAGTTCTGTTCATTTTATCAAAGTTCTTTTTTCTCCATTACAGATCATGGTGCTTATTCCTGCTACTTCAGATCAATAGTCACACAAGTGAAAACTGTTTTCAAATCCTTATAATTTCTTCAGTGATTACCAAAACCAAGTCCATACCAGCATCACGTCTTGTTAGCTGAGGGATCCAGCGATTTTCCTTAAGAAAGTCTTGGTCTGTGTGGACACTCCTGTCTCATGACTAACTAATGACTAACTGCCTAACAACGATTCTCTAGCCATAATCAAATCCCATCCAAGGGAATATCACAAATGAAAACCCTCCTCACTGAAATAAGGCGGCTCTCAGTACCCGGGAAATTCCCCTTGGCGAACGCAGTTCGGAACATGAGCGCATGGCTCTAACGGTTGTCCTCGAGCAGGAGATGGTATCTGCGCCGCAGGACGCCCGCCACGGGCAGCTGCTCGGCATGGCCGACAAACAGCCATCGGCTCCTGCACGCCCAGAGGAAAGGGGGACGACGGTACCCGGAGAGGAGCCGGAACGCCGACTTCAAGGGCAACAGGGAGTCCCTGCCGAGAGGACAAGGACATGCACCCATGTGGATAAGCACCTCCAGGAGCCTGGATCTCTACTTCAGTATCTTTCTGCACCTCCAAGTGATTAAGCCGGGTCTCTGGCTACAGCTGGATGCTTTTCCTTAGAGCAATGGGCAGAGGGAGCCTCTTTCCACGTGCGGGAGGAGAGCTGCACTTCACTCTCTGCAGCACATAGAGGTTTCTCCAAAATGTGGGCATCACACAGGGCACCAGAAGCTGAACTCCAGTATTTGCCCCCGTGCCTGCTTCTGTCCTGCCAATAAATCCACCCCAACACACCAGCTTTGCTCCCAAACACAGCCAGATAACTGGCGCCTCACCGGCGGACAGAACATTTTTCCAGCTGTGGATATTGCTTCAGTTTAGGTGGAATCTGTAACGTATTTGGCCTCTTAATAACTCCATGCAATTAGCCCACGACAAAGCTGCCACAGACAAAAATAAACTGTTCTTTCAAAATGTGCAGAACAGGACAAAATCGCGACCAAGAGGTTTTAATGCTTTAAAATATGGAATCTTTCAATGTCCCAGACTCAGACCTAGCAACTCCCACCACGCATGGAAAACGAAGCCGCCCAGTTTATCTGCTGTCCTGCAGGCAGAGTTGGACAAGGCAGCCTGTGGGGTCACGCTGATTCACGCTGAGCTAAGGGAAAAGAGGCGCCGCTTTGGCCTGCACAGAAATGCCACGGACAGCTGAGCTCCAGCTCCGACTTGGTGGGCAATCAACAGCAGAGCTTGCACCCAAATTTTGTACCTCAGCAAGCAACAAACTGTTCCACACTGCAAGCAGCATCAGTAATGCACCGGGAAGGCTTCCTGGAGATTATTAGGAGTAAAAGAGGCCAAACATTTACCAGTTAAAGGTGTTTAAAATAACAAACCCCACAGAGAAAAAAAGAATAAAGCTAGAAAAGTCTGCAGTCTGCTGCAGACTATGCTGCAGCTAACAACAGGCTGCAGATGTCAGACTCAAGGCTGACACCGAAGACCAGGTGAGTGGCCACTGCTCATTCTAGGTTTAGGGTTTTTTGAAGTGTTTGGAATGTCTTCCCCCCCCCCTCCTTTTTTTTTTTTCTTTTGGCCTTTCAGAGCTCTGTTTTTGGAAGATCTGGTCCATGTTTGGGCTTAATCAGCCCGTCACCTTCTTCTCAGTGGAAACCACCTCTCCAAATCACCTCGTTTTCAGGGAGCAGATGCCGTCGCCATCGCAGCCCTCCTGTTTCCCAGCCTGGCTACCAAGACTTCTCGTCGGCTACTTGGCAAAGGGATGACTGAGAGCAGATAATTGAAGAAACTGCTTCCAGCTTTTTCTAGTACAACAGAGCATTAGCAGCAAAAATCTCACCAGTGTGCAATAGTTGTGTAGCAAGGCTCACTCACAACATTACTCACAGGGATAATTCTATAGAATTAAGATAAGTGTTTTAATGAACATGTGCTGAGAACCACTGTTTACCTGTCAATTTTGTAAATATTTACACGTATTTAAAATGTTTCTGTTGGAAAGCCCTATAACAATAAGGCCTCACACAGAAGTTGCTAATATCCCCCTTTGGAAAAAAAAAGAACCATTTTTTTTTAATTGGTACCAGTCTTAACAAGCAGAGATTTAAGTGAGAAGGGCAAAAAGCCTATTGTATAAAAGGGTCAAATTCCAGTACATTTATGTCAAGGTACCCCAAAGCGAGATGGAGACAGCAAACAAGAGGAAGCTTCAACCTGACCAAAAGCAGCAGCAACTCACTGAGCAGACAGTGGCCATGGCCAGGGAACCGAGTCCACATGCTCAACAGCTGAAGCCCAAGTTAAATAACCTCAAAGCGGCTACACTCGTCCCTGCAACAAGAGGCCTTCAGATACCTTCAGCGTTAACTGATTGAGGTCATTAGTCTCCGGAAAATAAAAGCTGAAACACTTAGGATATATATATATATATATATATTATCAGATCAGAAGAAAATCTAGGCTAAGCAAAACAAAAGATACCCAAGCTCCATCAGCAACTGGCAACACCGCACAGGAGCAGGCAAGGGTGTCATTAAACCCCTACCCTTGAGGAAATTCCTCAACTGCAAAGTCATCCACAAGCAAACGGAGTATTCGCTGCTCCTCTCCCCTGGTAAAAGCACCTTGCTCCCACAGACAGGCAGGCTCTGCCTCAACCCACAGCAGAGAACACTTGTCAGCTGTTAATTATTATTTATTGAGCTAACAATACTAACAAAATGCTTCTCTGCACAAGCTCTTATAGATTAAACATCCCGGCTTCTCCCACCACGGTCCCTGCCCTGGCTTTCCTGCTGCTTCTACGCCAGGCTAATGCCCCCATCCAGGTTTTCAAGAGTAATATCTCCTCAACAGCAACATTGGGGTTAAAATAAATAAATAAATAAATAAATAAATAAGCAAAAAAAAAAAAGGAACCAGGGCAGGTTACAAGTGTAGCAAACTATTAAAAGTATCTTCACCAGCAACCCTCGCCCAGAATCAGGATTCAAAGAGGAGAAGCGGCAGCAAAACGCGCTGCTTGCAGGGGGAAGGAAGGCACAACTCAAGGCACCATCTACACCCAAAATAAAACCCAGGGCTGAGAGGATGAAGCCCAAGGCAACTTCCAAAGCTTCTTTGAAGCCTAATGTGTGTTATTACCATTAAGATGAGGAGTCGCTCTTGACCAGGAAAGGCTGCTAAGGGGTGGGGGAGCACTTGGAGCTGTCACAGGAGCCTCTCCTGCCGCGTCCTGCACATTCACCCAGTGTTGCTAATCCAGCCACGAGTGTTTCTTGCAGGTCTCAAGTGCTGCTGGGGGCTAGGGTGGCTCTTACCTCTCCATGAGCTTCTCCTTGTCCCAGTTGAAATGGCTAAGCAGTATCCGAGTGATAGTCGCTGGATTCTGGAGGGGAAAAAAAAGGAGGAAATTAGGAGCGTGGAAGGAAAATGCCGACAGAGCTGCCGCCCTGTTATGGGTACCCCAAGCACACAGGGCAGTCGGTGTGCCCGAAAACACACATTGTCCACAGGGATCATGTAACATAGCCCTGGAAAATAGTTTAGCACATGGCAGGTAATAAAAATTAGGAGCAATTCTACAGAGCAGAAGAGCTCTATGGAGCAGGTCGGCGTTGAGGAGTCAAGGAACTGCGCAATTCCCGGTAAAAGAAATGGAACAAGCCATGGAGCATCTCCCCCATGCACCAAGCGCATCCCGTCTCCCTTCACCCAAACCATCTCCCTAAGCCCCGAGCGTGTCCCCGCTTGGGCCAGGGACGGCCGACGCGCGCACGCTGCCATCTGACACCAAAATGGAAGTTGGCCGCGGGGCAAATTTTCTACGGACACTGCGAAGCCGATGAAAAGTAGGACATAACAGAGCAATGCAATTTTTGGAGCCCCCGGGCTACAGCTACAACTTTGAGCTGCCAAAAAAGCCACTGCTGTCCCCTGAAGCGGCAGTCCCTGCGCTGAGCCCACTCGCGCCCCCCTTTCCTCACCCTCCTCGCTAGCACAGCTGCTTTATGCTAAAACATTGCAAATTACAGGCTCCAAAAAGCTTTTTCTCCTCCTTTCTCAAAGCTGTTTTCTTCCTGAATCAGTTCCCCAATCTGCTTCTCATGCGGCCGCAGCAGCACAAGGCGGAAGGCAGCGGGAGGCAGCCGGGGATGAGCGGGACGGTGGTTTTGGCAGGAAAGCAGCAGCCAAACCTCTGCAGGGAAGGCATCCCGAAGGGGCCTCGTGGTATCCGCTGCCAAAGCGACGCTCCGCTCCCCTCCACAGCGCGCTCCCACCCCTCTTAATGCCAGCGCAGCCGGGTCAGGGCAAATTCAGGCAGCTTCAAACTTGAGGAGTGCCACAACTAAAGCATTTTCTGCAACAAGTCTTGCCTCCAGGAAGCCTTGCGCTGAACACCCGGGGTTTCACCCATAGGCTTCTCTGTTGATCCTTCGGGCACCCTCACACATTTATCCAGGGCTTTAGTCCCATCCCTTGCTCCTGACATGCTCCCGATCCGCAAAAAAAGGTTGTGGGCAACAGTACAAGCAGCTCGAGCTGGAGAAAAAGGCTATGTTAAAGGAAGGAAACTGCTCTGCAGCGGCGGCCGGGCACCTCAGGGCTCCCCAAAGGACACGTGGCTGCAGCAAGAGGCTCCGGTTTCGGTAGGGCCTTCTGCATTTCGCCAGGGAAGCAGCCGCCACGCAGCTCTCCAAGACTCGTCCCTGTACATGAGAGCCCCTCAACGGCCCGGCAGGGTCGCAGGAGAAAAGCAGCTTTATTTCGTGCAGGTGAGGTCCAAACCAGCCCGTCACCGCAGGCTTCCACTCGAGAGCCCGGTGCTGACAGTTCAGCGCACGGAGACTGACGCGGCGGAGCAGGGGAAGCTCCTGTCGCCTTCCTGGGCCTTGGCTTCCCTGAGCTGCAGCCGGATCTCCGCAACGGCCGCTCCACTCCCGCGGCTCCGTGCGGGCTGCTCCTCGCCTCGGCACCAGAACGGCTCGAGTTTTCAGCCCCGCTCCGAGGCCGGTTTCGGCCGGGGTGCTGCTGCAGTGAGGAAATGCCTTTTTGCAAGGGGTACTTTCCACTTACAGCACCAAACATTAATAATAATATTAAGCAAAGCAGCCAGACGGTAAGCCGGGGAAAAGCTCCCTCAAGTGTTCCATTTTCATCCCAACGTGCTTTGGTGAAGGCTGGGGCCATGGAGCTGGTTTACCCTTCCCTCTTACACAGCCCAAACGACGATGGCCGGGAGCTCAAGGCAGCGGAGCCAGTTGCTATCCAGACAGGCAAGCTGGGAGAAGAGGCCATTTTGTGGGAATTCTCCGCCCGCGGAGCCAGTGCTTCCGCAGGGATTTCCACGGTGAGCAAAGCAGCTAAGCATCCATCTGCTCCGAGCGGATCCGCTCTCCGGCTAATCTGACGCAGAAAAAAAAATTCCTGCGATGTACAGCACCACACTCAGGCACATGGGTGCCAGCATGAGACAGAGGCACAGGAAAACCCTGGAAAACTTCAGGAATGAGACGTGCAGGTCTTACTTCAGCAGATAGCACTCCAACGGAGGAGGAAACAAACCAAAACGCACCATGCGGTGCAATTTTCTCAAACCGGAAGCTCGGTTACAAGCATCCAAGTTGGATCAGGTTCTTTCTGCAGCCAGAATAGGAGTGTACGGATTGGAAGGAGGCACTCGGACGCGCACAAGCACTCTACGTGATTTAAGGCTTAAGGATTAGTGGGACATTAGCTCCAAGAGGAGCTTTCAAACAGCAGAATTTGCAGCATGACCGGTTGCAGCACCTCATCCATTAGCATTCCCATCTTTGCAGATGGGCCCTGCAGTCAATTCCTGCAGTTTCTGGCAGCCAGGAGCGTGCTGCCAAGCGCAGCTTCCCATCACGCGCCGGGAGGCCACAGTCGCAGCGACGCGAGCGCTCGCAGCAGATTAAACCGCTCAATAACAACTCGAGGGCTGCTCTCAGCTGAGCCGCCTGGAGAGCTGGCTCCGTGAGAGTCATCATTTTGCTTCTTCCCATTTCGTGGTTTGGGTTTTCCCTCTTGCAGCGGGATAAGCAGCGCCGGTTCCCCGGACATCGGATGGCCGGGAAGCAGGATGAGCCATGTAGCAGTTTCCCCGCTGACCCCAGCGAGCAGGGTACGGACACGGCACACAACTCCGTTGGGCTTGACACAAGCTGGAGATGCTCAACGGCACCGAGTGTCACCAGCGATCAGGAAGCAAGCCTCCCCATAATCCATCCTACTTCATCCCATTAAATGCCCTTCGCACATGTCCTCTGACTTTGAGGATCAGATTTTACAAAGTTATGGATCACTACCATCACACTATGGCAAAAAACAGAAGCTTAATAATACGATCTCTACTTGTAGTAACCAGTCTGCATTTCCCTCCTTTTTCTAGTCCTGATGAACATATCTGCTCTTACCAAAGGAAGATCAAATAAAACAACTCCAGCGAAAGCAATTACTTCATTTAACTGGTCGAAGAAACAGAAATGAAGCAGTCAGCTGCTTTACGTTTCCTTTGAGCCTTTTGGAACATTTTCAGGTTAATCATTAAGAGCCATGACAGAGAGCTATTGTCTAACAAAGTTTTTAAATCAAAGAAATTACTAAGGTGACAACTCCAGGATGAATTAGCAGATGTGGAAATGCAAAAACTGAATTCAGTGCAGTAAGTCTAAATAAATAAGCAAAGGCAAACACACATTTATCAGCGTGCTTCTGGAGCGTTCGGACAGCCCTGGCGCTCGGAGCACCGCAGAGACTCCGCCACCAACCCGACGCCAGTGGAAAAGCCGCATGCGGGTTACAGCCGGGGAAGGGATTTGTGCCTGCTTCTACGCCAGAGCAGAGGTTTGACAGTGAGATAGAGAGCTGTTAATTCATTTCTCCTGAACAGCGTTGCCTCCTGCTTCCTTCGCTTCAGTTCTTGGGTATAAAGTCAAGCTCTTGAGGAACAAAGCTTTGGAGACATCAGGAAATCGAGAAACTTAGGCCACTTCTGAAAAACTGTAGAACCAGAGGTCTCCAAATGGACATGCTTTACACAAACAATTTCTCACATTCAATCCCTTTTAGATTAACAAGCGTTACTGTCTGACCGCCCACAAGGACAGTATTGCCCAAGCTATTACTCCTTTGGTTGTCTCCCAGCAGAAGAAACTTGACGCAGGCACCAAAACTCAGCAGATCCGCATAAGCGACGTGCACCACAGCTAGTCACCCATGTCTCCCCTAAGCAACTAAAGCTGCCGTACTGAGAGAGAACTAGAGTGGAAGCACATGGGTGCGAGAGTACGCTGCAAAAAATCCATTTTTGCCTCAACCTTCCCTTCTCCTGCCTCCCACTCACGAGTGTGCAAAGAGCAGCCTCAAAAGAGTAGGAGAGGGTGATGGCACCATTTCCATAGAACTCTTTCAATTTACTATTTCGGTAGCTCTTTAATATCTCCCATAACAGAGGAGGAAAACAACACATGGCACCCAACAGCTACGCTGGGAAGGGAAGGATCCTCAAATTATCCTCGACCCAAAACCGTTTCGGCAGCCCTGAGCATGAAGGACCCACGGGTTCACCTAGTGGCATTCACATCCCTAGTAACCACCACCACCCCTCTCGGGCTAAACCTTTAGTCAACACCCAAAGCCTCACAGTGTCGCTTCCACCAGCACGAGAAACCAATGAGACAAACAGATACCAAACACAGGGGGCTATTTAGGAAAAGCACCGAGACACCCATCTCCTGGCCACAGACAAACTACACGTAGGCGCCTTCCTCGCACACCCGCTGCGCGCTGCTGAGGCAGGGGTGTCCAAGAAACAGCCTTTAATCCTCCTTCTCTCAAAATTACACACAGCTGCTCCTGCAGAACCCACTTTTCCCCTCCATCCTGCATGGACTCGCACTGTAGAGATTCTCACCCCACGCCACATGCTTTGGCGCTCAGCCTGCGCTCACCTGCCCGACAGTCACCGCGCTGCTCACGGACACGAACCACAAACGGACCCAGCTACACCAGATCAGAGTCACTCTGGTTGGAAAGGGCCTCCAAGATCATCAAGTCCAAACATAAACCCGTCAAATGCAGAAACTGTTCCTCTTCTCTGGACAACAAGCAAACCTAACAACAGTGAGAAGCATCATTCGATACTGTTAGCCCCTTGGGATCTTGCAGACCAACAGCCTCCAGAAGACCGTGAAAGACACCTCTTCTCTCATCAAACCTCTACAACTCACTGGTGTTGAGCTCAGAGAGAACATCCCATGGTGGTTCCAGAGGGATGCAAGGGCACATCTGGCCACAGAGGAGATAAAGTGCCAAGGCTGACCTGAACCAGGCAAGAAACCGCTTGGCTTCTCCAGAAACAAAAAT